ACGTCGTGAAAAAAGAATTGATTTAGAATGACAAATGGAACAAGTGAAATAATACCGGGAACAGTTCAAAGTGAGAATAGTAATAATAGTAACAATTGACATGTAGTAAGGAAGAGTATACAAATTGAATAGACAAAATGAAAAATTGGTAGGGCTAAAATATGATTGGGGATTACCATATTTTAGCATACAGGGATTAAGACCATGAAAGTTGGAGGGGTTGAACGAACCTCTTTTTCTGTACATAGAGATCTGGCTTTTCTGTTTCGATAGCCAAAGATGGCTTCAGCAATATAGATGAGTCGGATACGTAGGGATTTGGGTAAGTTACTCTTTGCCTTGAAGATGACTTTAAAGACGGAGGCTATAGAGATCGAGTGGTCATTATCGACCAGATGTTCAATGATCGCGCTTCTTATTGCTCCACTTCCACCTTTTCGTAGCCATGCATTATTTACCTCTTATCGTAAAGTTTGTTAATCTAACATCTCTCATTGCATTGTTTGTATTATTTTGGTTTTTCACACATATCACAGAGAAGTAGAGATAAGAAACTCAAAACTCTTTGCATCTTTCTCTCTCTCTCTCTTTCCTTTTTTCTTTTTCACTTTTATCTAATTTGTTGATATACTCCTGTTGATGAGGTTTATACTTCCATTTGTTGTACTATATTTGATAAAGTATACAACACTCTGTCACCCATTGGCATTGTATCTCTCTCTCTCTCTATGCTTCTGTCACCTTGATGCTAGATTAAAAGCTTTTTACTAAATGACACAGCCTTTCTCATGCTTCAACTTTAATGGTGTTAAAACTGATAAAGACGAGGTGTGTGTGTGTGTGTGTGTGAGTGCGTTCGATGCTTTCACAAGTTAGACCATGTGTAGATGGACGTATATATACATTGCATTTATGCAAAGTAGCCTTACTAGTGAATACTGGAATAGCACTGTCCCCGTGTTCAATAATTTCATTTGTGAGTTCGCAAGTATATATATGATTATTATTATTATATCCTTTAAATCCTAGAGGAACATAGAGCTTCAGCCGCGTGTCTCCATTGCCTTCGGTTTTCTGCCAACTTTTTCAGTCCGCTCCAAATCTGCCCACATGCTTTCATCTCCTCTTCACATGACCCCCACAAAGTCACCCTTCCATTGACGACCAACCTGCCGCTTCCCTCTTGGGTTCCACTCAAGCAATGGCTTGTCTAGTGATGTCACTCACTTGATGGTTTCCTCAGCGTATGGCCAATCCATCTCCATTTCTTCCTGCCTATTTGTTTCACAATCGGTTCTTGCTGGGTTGATTCGCTCACTACTAGAGATCCCTGTTGCTGATCTTTTCCGGCCGGCCATCTGATCTTGAGTAGTATTGAGGGAAGCCACCTAGCTATTGATGAAAGTCTGTAGTTTGTTTGAGGTGCTCTTCATGACGCGCAGTGCAAGTCTCTGATCCGTATATTAAGTAGCACTGACTGACTTCACATAAGAGTTGAAAATCCGGATCTTATTTTTGATGCTGAGTGCTGTTGACCTCCACACAGACTTAAGAGTAATGAAAGCCTGTCTTGCTTTGATATCTTCGTCAGTTCCCCTGTAGTTGAAACGATGCTTCCCAGGTAGGTAGGTAAAGGAGGTTGCTTCTCTCAGATTTCTCCCATTTATGCTGATTGTTGTCTGTTGTTGTTGTTGTTGCTGTTGATGTTGGCCAGGAATCTTCATCACCTCTGTTTTATCTATGTTCACTTGAAGTCGTATCTTTGATGCGTCTTCTGTCAGCTTGTTGCTTTTCACTTGCATATCTTCCAGTTTGTGGGAAATCGGACATATATCATCGACGAAGTCCAGATCCTCTAAGTCCTTTTTTGTGTGAGTCCATTTTATGCCTGTTTCCTGATTGCCCGTTGTCTGTTGCATTATCCAATCTACAGCAATCAGGATGATCATTAGCGATAGTAGACTGCCTTGCCTCACTCCCGTCCTCACTTCGAAGGCTTCCGTAATTTTCCGTTGTGGAGTACTCGGCATACAGCATTGTCGTATAACTGTTGGATGAGATGTATAATTATCGATGTATATGATTATGACTATTATTATTCTATATTATTCTATCCCAGCGTTCTCCAAGCGGAGCTATTGGGCTTCAAGCTGGGAGATTTGAAGTCCTAGTAAGCATTGTGGTTTTATTTTTTATGAGGTGGGTTTGCTAGTCTCACAGTTGGCCAACCCTCCTCCTGTTTGGTTGAGCCTACTGCTGCTAATACCCAGGAAAGCGAGTTTTAGGAGTATTTTGGTGGCGGGGATTCGAATCCCGGACTACATGAAAGGTTATATAAATTTTCTGATTTAGTTGTGTTCCCTAAGCTGTTCGTAGATTTAATTGCGTGGTTTTCGCTACCCATCTAGACTACTACATCTTCAGTGGAGATTTTTTTTTTAGTTGAAAATGAACTTATTCAAATTCTCCATGAATGATGTAATTATATCTTCTGGCGACGACTACTGTCCTGACTGGTTATTTATATTGATTTACATCTCTTTTGATCATTTTTATTGATGTGAGATTTGAATTTCTGTCATGATGTGTGATTTACTTTTTATTAGCGCTGGTCAACTTTCGTCTATAATAGTGTGTTTCAATATAGCAAAAATATTCATTCAAACATCTATAAAACACAAAATAATTTAGCAAGGAAGAATATTCTTTTCGATAATTTCCTCCTCTTCTGGCTCTACAATTATACACATATATGTGTTTATATACATATAATATTCTAGAATAGTAGTCAATATCAATATTAGTGTCTTTTAAATAATATCGATCTGTAACGGGTCAGTGTACTCATTTTCTCAGCTTCGTGTCGTTGAAATACAAACGCAATCTGATAAAGTGCTTGGTCTGCCACAGAACAAGAGCAATCTGCTCGGATGTGAATGTCTTGATTAGGAACTTAATAACATTAAAAACAGTTGCTAAGTGAAGATGGTTATCCAGAAAAGTTTATTGATAAGAATATGAATGTAAAATCAAAGTAGCCCAAGTTACCAAAGGCCTTATTCTAACAAATTCACTTCCTTGGGGATAACATCAGTGAGATACTAACACAACGCCTTAGAAATGCGGTGAAAAGATCATTCCCTGCTGCTCAGTTACGCTGTGTCTTCAAAACCGCTCATCTTTTGCCTTTCGGAGTAAAAGAGAAACTGCCGAACTTCGCCTCTTCCATGTGTGTGTATCTACCAATAAAATTGTTCGTGTGGAGTGAGCCAGTTAGTTGCATAGGCCGTACAATTAGGCGTGTTTCTCGTCGAATTTCCGAACATCACCCTACATAGTTGGTTAAGTAAAGGACAAACAAAATCTATTTATTCGTACCTCTATTCTATCTCACTCATCTTGTGGATACAGAAGACACAAGATTGACGTTAACCATGCTTTCAGGATCATTTACCGCATACCTACGAATCTCAATTTCGCCTTAAGAGTTCGACTACTAAATATTGCTGAGGCTGGTCGTTGGGATCCATATTAACAAGCCAAATTTATTCATCCAAAAGAAGTTAGTTGGTTCAGACATTGTCCTTACCTTGGCCATCTAGGTTTGAGTGATACTGAATTTTTGTGGAATTTCGCTAATTTTAGTTGATATTCTTTTTACTACTATATCTTTATTATTATTATTATAATTTAAGCATCTTTAATGAACTCTAATTCCATTCTGATCTTAATTAACAAATCGATATTATGTAAAAAACACTAATATTGTTATTAACTACTAATCTAGAATATTCTATGTTTATAAACATATGTATGTGTATAATTGTAGAGCCAGAAGAGGAGGAAATTATCGAGAAGGATATTCTTTGCTCAGTTATTATTTTGTGTAATAATGTGTTTGTTAATCGATGATTCATTTGAGCACCAGGCCTCTAGAAGTTCCCTGACAGCATTTTTGATGTTTCCTCTATTTACGAGTTGATCACGGATTGATATCAGTTAGAGGACCATTGAAAACCAGGGAGAACTGGACAGCTGCTGTTCCATCCTAGGCACACGTAACACATGTCCTAACCATATCAGTCACAATGTAGCTTCACAGTCTCGTCGATTGATTTCCCCTCCCACCTATCTAGAATTCGACCAATGCGTAACCTCACTATTGCTTACCTTATTATACCACTTCACACGGGAGATAGAGCGCAGGCACCTATGACCAAAGACAGTCAGCCGGCCTTTTCATGTTTTCCACTCTCAATGGCCAGGTCTCACAGCCAGCCATAAAGAAGGACGGAGCGGAATAATGAGCAGTACACCCGCCCTTTGGTCGACAGCCAGTCAGTCGGATATCATGTCTACGCCAGAGACGGCGTAAACTGGCAGAGATCAACCGGTTGGGGCTGATGGTACTTCTCAAGTAAGTGAAATGGTCGACCACTTCACTCCCTATTTCTAATCTGTGAGTCAGTGTAGTCAAATCCTGTAACATCATCTTGCATTTGGCGGGAGCGAATCGCGTGCCAAACATTCTTAGATCAAGTGACATCACTAGACAAGCCATCGCTCGAGTGGAACCCGAAAGGGAAGCTGTGAGTTAGTCGTCCAAGGGTGACTTGGAGGAGGAAGTCATGTGAAGAGGAGACGAAAGCATGTAGGCAGACCTGGAGCCAGGTGATGAAAAAGTTCGCAAAGAACTGAGCGCAATGGAGATGTTTGGCTTAAGCCCTATGTTCCTCTAGGAATTAAAGGAAATAATAATGATAAGGGAGATCTATTAATTCTGATCTTTGCATAACGGCTTCAGATATTAATCCAGAAATTGGCGATCTAATTTATTTTGTTTTTATCTGTTCGTATATTTTGATTATTGAATTGGAAGTATATTATAAAACATAATTTTGTGCATTCCATCCATGTTATAATCTCCTTATTTCCCTCCTTCCTCATCTTCTTCTTCTGTTATTCCTTGTTGTTGATAATATCAACTTTGTCGAATTTAGGTACGTGCTATCTGTCGAATGTGTAATGTAGATTATGATTTATGCAGCACTGTAGCTTCTACAACTATTGGCAGCGGCGGTGGTGGTAGTATTACTGGACATCGTGGTCGACTTAGCGGTGGTGGTAGTCGATCACGTGTTGTTGGTGTAAATCTAAGTGCTGTTAAAGCAGTTGCCTCTGTTTCAATGATTAATCCAAAATCATATTTTTCCAATATTACATCATCATCATCAATGAACAATAGTCAGACAAATAATACTAGTAATACCAGTAACAATATGAATGGGACCGATTCCAGTTGTTTAGAATATGATACTGTTGAAACGGTGAAACATAGTACTTCTTCTATGGATGAGAACAAACAGCAACAACAACAACAACGGGAGAAGAAACTAAGTCAGGATACAAGCTCTACAACAACGAATATGACCAGTAATAACTCAGCTGGTAGTGGTACTAGTACTACTACTAATAATAATAACGGTGAGTAGTATGTTGTTTAAGTGTTTGCCTTATTTTCCAAATGTTGATATTCTTCTGAGTGTGCACATGCATCCAGTGAGTGAGTGAGTGAGTGAGTGAGTGTTCACTTTACCACTTGGACCATGAGAACCACCCAACTCTTGCTGTTACTTAATTCAATTAGGACCTTCCTTCAGATTGATTGAACTGGGGATCCGAATGACGAGTCCCAAGGAGGACGAAGATGTTCCGAGTGGAGCATAAAATTTCAGCGGCACACAACCACCACTTTCAGCTGGCTCCACAATTTCCCATAAGCTGCTTTCGTTTCCTCATCAAATTATCTCCAACGTGTCACTTTCAGGCACCCATCTTGTTGTCCTCCTATCCGGGGGTGTTACTCGAAGGGTTTTTGCTTTTCTGTCATATTCGTTTGTGTTTCCAGTGGAATATATATATATAGGCTTCAAGCTTTAGGCTGTGAAGTTTCAAGAGCAGAAGTGTTATTTATTACGAGGTGAGGCTGCCGACTTATTGACTGGTTTCAATGTAGAATTTTGCACAGAAGTACACCAGCTAAGAGAGTAAATGCATTTGCACCAGCCATTGAGGAGAACGATTTTGAGCCATATCACCAAATGTCTGTAGCCTTCATTGGTTGTTACCATTCCAAGAACCTGAACCAGACAGTAGTCTACACCTCCGTACCTGGCTCACAATAATTTTCATGGATTTTATTGACTGATGAAGCTATATTTTAGTTCGACTACCACCAGCTGTTTTTCAATCCAGTCTTATGCTAGCTAACTAACATTGACCATCGAGGAATTTGTTGATGGCTAAATATGCGTAACACGTCGTAGCCATGTCAATCGATGTAGATTCAAAACCTCATCAATTGACTTTCCTCTTCACCTCTAACGCTCGAGCGAAGCTTCACCTCAATATTACTCATTTTATTATATACCGTATAACACGGGAAATAGAAAGCAGACACCCATATGATGGTCAAAGACACCTAGCTAATGTTTTCGTATCTTCCACTTTCAGTTGTCATGTCTTACTCACAGCTATAAAGGAGGACGGAGTGAACTGCTGTGTGTAGTACACAGCCGGATATCATGTCTCCACTAGCGATGACCTAAGCAGGTAAATGTCACACCAGCCTTTTGTATCCTTGCTACAATGTCGTCAACAGTCAGTCCATTAGGGCTAATACAACTTTAATAATAATAATAATAATTAGCTTTATTCCAAAACAGTACTTGTGATACAGAATGGAATTGTCAGCATTTCACTGCAGTATTGCATCCAGTTAGTACATTATCAATGAAAATAAAATTCTACATAGATTAAGTGTGATCTCAGTTCATTATGACAACAACATATTAGCATATCGGTCGGTAGCAAAGTCAAATTTGAACAGTGTTTGAAGGTGTTAGAAAAGTAGATACTAGCATATTTACTGCCCTGTAAGCGGTAACAAAAAGGTCGAGATATACAGAGTTTGAAAGAACGAAGAAGAATGTTTTAAATACAGTTTGTAAGGAAGAAAGAAACAAAGCATCACATAACAGGGGAAAGAAAGAAAGAAAACGTTGTACCTACACATGATATGAGTTGGAAAGACGAGATCCAGTTGTTCCACTGACTATTTAATAAGTCATAAGTTTCACGCTTAATGCTTTCTTTATCGCACAGAACACGATTTAAGTAGGATATGGTTGGGTTTTTGTACTTACTAGTGCGAGCATATAGTTTTCTATGTAGGCTTCTGGTCTGCCTGCCTGATGAGATACAAGGGGAGAGTTGTGAATGAAGAGGATGGTGTGAGTTAGACAGATAAAATGGATTTAGCCCATTTTTTGCATGAGTCCATGTGCCTGTCAACCAGAATATTAACAAGCTGGTTAAGTAGCACGTTGCTTACCCTACTGACAACCTTTAACATCCTGCGTAATGAGATATAGTCTTCCTTTAGTAGCCCTGGAAAAACTAAGGGGGAACATTGGAGAATAATAGGCAGGATGTAAGAGTTAACGAATCGTAGGAGTAAGGGTTGGGTTATTCCAGAATATATTAACTTCTTGATGTAGAAGGTAAGATGGAATATTTTCTTAGAAATCATCAAGATATGAGACGACCAGGAAAGATCAGCAGACAGAATGATGCCAAGATATTTGATTTGATATTGTTCCCGCTGAGGCTCGAATCTAGTACCTATTGATCCAAGCACCAAAGAGGGGTTATCTTCTAGATCACTTGGGCCATGAGAGCCAGTCAACTTTTGTGCAAACGGGTTATCAGTAGTTATTTAATTTAATTCAATTTGAACTTTCCTGCAGGTAAATCCGGATGACGAGTCCTTAACAGGACGGAGTGTGTTCATTTTGAATTCCATTGCTAGCTAGAGTCACCATCCACGAATTTATTTCAAGTAGAAAGAGAATTGTTTAAAGAATTAATTTTTTATTAACATCTAAGATATACTTTAAAGGACTGTTCAAATGAGCCTGAGAAAGTGTCCCGAGGGGAGCATAAGATTTCAACGGCACATCACCATCATCACTTTTAGCTGATTCCACGATTTCCCATAATCTGCTTTCATTTCCTCTTCACATGATCTCCACCGTATCACTTTCAGACGCCCAACTCGAAGAATCTGACTTTTCTTTCACATTCCTATGTGTCGCCAGTGGAACATAGGGTTTTCAAGCTTTAGTCTGTAAAGCTTCAGGAGCGCAGAGGTGTTGTTTTACGGGGTGGGATTGCTGATTGACTGGTTCTCAATACTTAACTTCGCACAGAAGTGCAGCAGCACTTCAAGTAGCTACACTCCATGAAGCACACAGGGGAAGACAAAAGAGAAAAACAAAATTCAAAACAACGGCAATAAGCAGGAATGTGTGAGGTAATTCCATATCGTCACTAATTGTCCTTAGCCATTAGTTCTTAACATCCAGAAGACTCCAACCAGACAGCAGTCTACACCTCTCTACATAACTGGCTCAAACCGACTGTTGAAGATTTCATGGCTTGGATGCATATTTTCCTTCGATCACCACTAACTTTTTTTCAACCTGATTTTATGTCATCTGAAATAGTCCATCGACGAAGGCAATGACTAGGCTAGAGTTGATAACCTCACATCCGACGTTACCTCCTTCCCTGGCCTACTTACTACCCGGCTCGGTGAAGTTTAGGAGTGCGTTGGTTGGCAGCAGGCGATCGAACCCAGACCATGTGTGTGTGTGTGTGTGTGTGTGTGTGTGTAGATGGCAAGCATTCTACGCCTGAACCATGGATGCACGAGGGTCCTGGCGTGTATTGTCATTTAATGTTCTCTTTAGCGTATGTCCAGTCTATCTGCATTTCGTTCTGCATATTTTGGGGGCATTGGGTTGTTGGTTGGTTCATTGACAGCAAGGGTCCTTTGTAAGGTAACAAATTGCGTAATGCAGGAAAAGTTACAAACTAAAATAAAAATAAATGAGTGAATCTCCATGTCTTCCACTTTCAATAGTCATGTCTCACAGTCACAAAGCAGAAGGGTGCGAACTACCGCACAGTAGACACGCCCTTCGATCGATCACCAGCTGGAAAGTACGTCTGAACCAGAGATTTGGTCAAAAATCAGTCCAATTATAGATGATGCAACTTCCCCAATGACTTCAATCTTCTCGAAATCATACAAAGATGTAAAAGTATTGAATGAATGAGTTGATTTCAAGTTGAGTACATTTCACTGTGGACGTATACTCACTCACCACTTGATAACGCATAAGTTTATGATGCGACATACACACACACACACACTAACACAAGATGAACATTAGCGTTATCGTCAATTGTTAATCTTATGATTATCCATTAAGTTATATATACAAAAGAAGAGGCGTTCGTTCAGTGAAAAGTTAGTCTTTTGTCCCAGTGGTATCGTTCGCAAGCGGTACAATCGCATACATATATATTGTACTGCCATAGTGACAAGAGGGGAACGTTTCCAAAGATGTTTCATTAAAATTGTAAATTTTTGATAACAATTGCGTATTACGAAAAGCGTTATTTGGAGAGAAGAAACTAAAACTAAAATTAAATGAGCGAATTGCGTGACGCAGTGTCATTGATGGAATGGAGTTAGGCCTTTACTAAAATTGAAAGACAGTCAAGTTTAGGATCAGTGACATAAGAAGCAGAAATATGTAATCGTGAAGGAGCGCAGGGGGTAAAGAAAAATAATATTATTCTAAAAAAACTAAAAGTTACGTATCTATTGTAGGTTTCGTTGACTGAATATACTTCTTTTGTATATGCAGAGTTCAGGATTTCAAGTGCGGATTGCCATCGCTTCTGAGGTTTGAAGAATCTTGACGAGATTTCCGCGTACTGTATAAGTCATGGGAAATTCCCATTGTAACATATAGAAAATTAAAACAAGGGATTCAGTGAAGAGACTCTTTTCAACGAATTTATCATCAAGCTGTACAGCCGTATATATATATATATATATATATATATATATATGACATAAATTTCCTTTGCCACTTGACATTTAACTATGATTATAATCACAAATATTTTAGTTTTAATTGAACTTCATATGATTATTATTATTATTATTGTTATGTTATGCATTCACACCTATGATTCAATTCCTTCACCGGATATAACTTCTTAAAAACCATATATATACGACTGTACGGCTTGATGATAAATTCGTTGAAAAGAGTCTCTCCGCTGAATCCCTTGTTTCGATTTTCTATACCCTATAAGTAACTCTGAAGTTGGTTTGCAGGTTCGATCAATGTCCAGAGTTGATCACGCCTTCTCCTTTATAAAACCATGAGAGAGTAAGTGTTGGATAGCAAACTTTGAGTACGACCGATACACATGCCTAACTTCATAGAAGCCAATTAAATTGATTGATACACTCTGATGAGACCGGCCAACAGCAGTGGTTGGCTTATTTTCCACGTTCATTCAAATCGCGAAGTTCAACTGCGAACAGAAGGTGTTTTTTTTTTCAATGACCTGGATAGGCGGTATCTTAGCACTACCGCTTTATGAGTCTCCATTGAACTTCGGATTTAGATATATAGAGGTTTTTGAAGCAGAAAGTAGGATTCAATATAACTGAAAATTTTTTCTCATATAGTGGGTTGTCCAAACTAACATCCTGACCGAAATCTGATACCTTGACATGGTGGTCGGGTTTGCACATCGCAATGACCCAACAAGCTACACTGGCTGGAACTATTGTTCCTGCAGGTCCTACCATACCAGAAAGGTTGTTAGGATAGCGATTAGACTAAAAGCAGTTACTAGCATAGTGCAACAATATTTTTACACTATACTCTGAGGGTTGGAGGGCGAAGTCGTACTGCTGGGGAACAGGGGTGTGACAGCAGTGAGTTTTTTCCTTCAGATGACCAGCATGCCACTCAGGAGGGAAGGGGTTAGAAAAGGTCGGCCTCAAAAATTGTCTGTCTGTCTGGATTCAACATAGAACTTGGCACTGAAGTGCAGCACTTCGAGTTGCCACGTTCCAAATAGCACACAGAGGTAGACAAGAAGATGAGTGAAGAGAATCAAAAGAGTTTGACAAGTATAAGAGTGAAACAGAATGGGTAATGGTAGAAAGGAATATGAAAGATTGTACATCCCGACTTACTCTATGGTGGTCCGTAACCGGTGGTAAGTTTACTAATACGGAACCAAACCAAGAAACCAGTTCATACAGGCTGTGTGTGACTGGCTGGCCTCAAACAGTTGTCCCCTGGGTTCTGCTCTGCGGTCGAGGCAACACTAACCCTCTTTGTATTTCAGGTACCCGAAGAATCAATCAACTTCCACAGTAATGTGGGCATCGGGGAAGTAACAACTGCCCACACACTTCCAAGGGCACATCATTCTCCAAACTATAACATAGGTGGAGTTGAATTTGAATCCGATACCTATGCTCAAATGCTTAAGTCAATAAGTCACTTCTCCACGACAATGTTCTCGGGTGTCATTTTATTCAACTAACATGAATTGTTATCCTTCAAAATGATGTGGGTTTTTTTCATCCCTTTGTGATCCGAGTGGAACATAAGGCTTCAAGTTTGAGTCTTGAAGTTTCTGTAGCGGTTTTATTTGGCTTTTATGGAATGGTATTGCTAACCTCATGCCTAACCTTCCATTATTGCCGCGCTTACTATCAGCTAATTGAGGTTTAGGAAGTGTATCAGTGGTGGAAGCCGGGCCCTGAACTTGTGCGTAATTTCCGAGCATTATACTGTGGTGAGAGCTGGCTGCTAGCCAAAGTTGGTAGACAGTAATTTACGTTAATGTTTATGTCCCCAATATTGGTCGTAAGATAGATATGAGAAGAAAGGCTTTGCGTAGGCGGAGACAGTTAACATATAGATGATCTAACATTCAAGAAACAGTCACAAAGAGATACAAGGTTAACAATTTTCTGTGAGAAACAACCACCAATTAGAAGACTGTGTTTGTTTGCTTAAATAATCTATAATAATGTACATGAAAATCTATAAATATGTGTTGATTTCCTTGATAAACGATCTGTTGCCTGGCCCTTGTCTTCTGTTGTTACAATACCACTGGATAGACCACCGAAGCAATGCGGTGATGGATGAGTTTTCTTTCTGAAGTTGTTTCAGTTCAGTATATATATACAATTGAGTTGTTGGTTTTACATGCTTTTATTGATTTTTTTTCGTTATGCCTATCACAGCCGGAAATAAACGTCTTCATCAATTGGGCACTTCTACAACACCTACTTCCAGTGGAAATTTCAACTTTAGCCTACCTATATCTAGTCCTGTTATGATTTCTGGAAGTAATAATAATAGCAGTATTACCAGTGGTGCTGGCGGTGGCGGGATCCGTAGACGATCTAATCTTGCTTTCATTTCGTCAACGTCATCATCATCAGCATCCGCATCAGTGAATGCAAAGAAAATCTATGAAAGTTGGCTAATGACTCTGCGTATTCGAACGTATCTGGCTAATTTGAAAATTGTTCAAGATCCAGAATTACTCTCTCAGTTGTCTGTGCGATTGGAGCCTAGTGCAAAAGACTCGAAAACAGGCATTCAACCGATTGTTATTCCAGTCACTGGAGTGGGTAATTGTTGTACCGCTACAACCACTATTACTACAACTACAATTACTACTACTACTACTACTACCACAAGTGAAGGTAGTGAATCCCACCAGTTTGTTGATGTATGCAGTCTTTCATCGCCTGACAACCGTCCAGAATCGAAAGGTATTTTATCTATTAATTATTTGCTATTTTCCCAATAAGGATTTATTACTATTATTATCATTATTATTATTATACTAGAGTTGATTTGTGAGAATTTAATTTTGTTTGATTGCATGGAGGAATTCATTATGAGCTGACATCAGTTAGAGAACCATTGGAAAACCAGCTGGGAGTACTGGACAGCTAGCTGTTTCGTCCTAGTTCGGGACTCTTCATCAGTACGCACCCACACTGTGGGGTTCGAATCCCAGACCTTCTGGTTACAAGGCCAACGATCTCGTAAACCATTGAGCCACTGGGACCCGATCCAATTCACGACATAGCGCGACCACGGTGTGGGCAGCAGGGAAGTAACAGTCGCCCACACACTTCCAAAAGCTGCACACGAAGCCTTCCTGAGCATCATTCTCCTTTCCTCACATCGCCTTCCTCATCTTGCTTCTCTACTACAGTTAGTACTATTCTAAAGGCTAGTGAGTCATCTTCATTTCACTCTGTGGCCACAAACAACGGTGAGAGGCATAGAAATACCCCCAGATGACCTTTTAAAGCCACGTCGTCAACTTCATATAGGAGCATTTGACGCCAGGACCCTCTGCTAAATCGAACAACAGGCATCACCAGCTAGAACTCTGGCAACTCGAGCCATGGATGTATGTTGTGTTTCGGAGACACGCATACAAAACCCAAGTGTGGTCATTCATTCAACCTCACCCGGTCAAGGTGAATCTGCGAAATTCACTTCAAGGGTGTCAGGAGACCTCTCATCTAGCTCGCGAGGACTCGCAGGTGTAGGAATAGCACTGAGTGTTAGGGCGGAAAAATCACTTCTTGACTGGATCCCAGTAGATAGTCGTATGTTTGCGTTCCGTCTCAATGGGTCTGTTAAAAGAAGGAAAGACGGTACTACGCGTCGTCGCCTTTTTGTAGTCTCCACTTACTCCCCAACAGACAGACAGGCAGACATAGCGCAACCATTTCGCGATATCTTCTTCGATGAGTTACTGCCTCATCTTTAACCTGCTGTACCCTACTGGTCATGGCTTCCCACTAGAACCCCAGGTTAACTGTCCGAATAGGGCCAGTCGCTAGTGAGCTAGTGATGATTTGATTTGTTTTTCGAGGTTGACCACATTTTTTTGGTATTCATAACTGGCCTTGATATCTTCTTATGTGCTCTCTGTGGTTGGAACAATGCTCCCAAAGTAAGCGCCGTGCTTTAAATTTTCCCCGTTGATTGTGGTCTGTGCTGTTTATTAGGTCACTTCGTCACCTCATCTTTTGACAACTTGTTGAGATTTTTGCGCTCATAATCCTTCGAGTCTGTATGAAATAAGACACAAATCATCAGTGAAGTCCAGAACTTCTAGAGTCTTTTTTGTAAACTCAAACTCGTCTAGGTTACCTGGCCAATCCCAAACCTGTTTTTCGAGTTTGACCACGGATGGATACCATCAGTTAGAGTACCATTGAAAACCAGTCACAGGGAGTACTGGATAGCCAACTGTTTCATCAGCCTAATTTGGTAATCATCACCAGTACGCACCCACACACTGTACGGGGTTTGAACCCCAAGACCTTCCGGTTATAAAGCAAGCTGGTCGTATTCAATTCAGCCATCGGGACCCGATTTAATGGCCAGTTCATGAATTTGTGATTTTTTCAGTGCGATTGGCACCACCAACTAATGTCATCGGTGGGAAATCCATCCTCACTCCCGACTGGATGAACCTTACTGGTCACGAATTCTCACTAGAATTCCAGGAAACTCTGTCCTGTAACAAGTTACTAGTGAGCATCAGATTAATTTTTGAAGAGTTAGATTTGTTTTTCGAGTTTATCCACGGATTGATGTCAGGTTTGTCTTTTTTTTGTCAATCCTAACTGGCCTTGACATCCTCCCTCCTGTAGTTGAGACAATGTTCCCAAGGTAAGTGGCCTCCTTCAAATGATTATTATTATTATTATTCCCTCTGGGCTATGAATGAAACATAAAGCTTCATTAGTTAGCACTGCAATCTTTCCTTTGGCTGACCTGACGATTGCCCATAGGCCTGCTATCATCTCCCTACTACATGATTTCCAACATGCCCATCCAGTGCCTGGAACATGGGTGTCACTCAATAGTCTTCTCAGCGCGTATGTCTGATCCATCTTCATTTCTTACTGCATATTTGTTGATTGTTAGCTTCTTGATTGATTCGTTGCCAGAGTTCTTTGCTGCACTCTATCCTTCCCAGCTGTTCACCTGATCTTCACTATCGAGGGAGGTGGTGGGCAGGTGTTGATGAGACTGTAAGATGATAGCCTGTTGGAAAAATGCCTTCCATGAGGCGTACATCAGGTCTCTGAACCACATGGCAGAAACGTTAACTGGCTTGACATTAGTGTTGAAAGTTCGGATCTTGTTTTTCACATTCTGATATTGCAATGGATCTCCATACTGACTTCAGGGCGATGAAAGCCTGTCGTTTTTTTTCAATCCTAACTGGCCTTGACATCACCATCATCATCATCATCATGTGTGCTCCCCCCTGTAGTTGGGACAATGCTCGCCAATGTAAGTGACTTTTCTTCAAATTTCCTTTGCTGGTGGTGATCTGTGCTAGTTGTCAGCTCACTTCATCACCTGTGTCTTCGTTGCATCCTTTGCCAACTAGTTGACTTTGTTCGCATAGTCCTTCGAGCCTGTATGATATAAAACATAAATCATCATCGAAGTCCACATCTGTTGGTATTGGATTGTTGGAGGCTATCGGCAGAAAGCCCCGTCTAACCTGGGTTTCATACGAGTTGGCACTCATCAGTCAGCAAGGCGTATTTGCAACCTTGAAGGGACTCATGACTCTTCTGAGATTCGAACCCGCGGCACTATCCAATACATTCCTACAGGAGGTCAATTGTGAGCCCGAATAGCTCATTGGTAGCGTTGCTGACTGCAGCACTCACTGGACGACACGGATCCCCAGCCTTACAATGCACATAATTTACTTCAAGTTCGCAGATACGAGACTTGGTGAATGCCAACAAGCACGAAACCTAGGTCCAAGGCTATAGACACACATTACACTAGTTACTGACTAGTGTCCGGTTTAAAAAAAGCCCAAATCTTCTAGAATCTTTGCCAACTTAAACTCATCTAGGTTATTGGCCAATCCTAAACCTGGGAAAACAGGGAAAGTTAGTTGGACGACGACCTTACCCTGGAAAATCAGCTCAATCTCTACAGAAACAAATAAAAAACCAAAAAAAAACAAACATTTGTATTAAACAGAGTGAGAAATCTTCATAGTGCCACCGTACTCACCAAGCAAAATCTAACTAAATTTTCAGCGTAGCACTCTACGCGAAAGTGCAGCAGTTCAAGTCACCAGACTCCTTACGGCACCGCTTAATATAGAGGAAAAAAGCTTAAAAGGATGTCAACTAGGTTTTGTAAAGCTTGCTTGACAAATAGCTGCTACTTTGACATGGTGGTGGTCGGGGTCACAAATTGTAATCACCACCCAGCGAAGCCCCACAGTGATTGGAACTAATGTCCTTGGAGGTCTTTTCATGCCAAAAAGATTGTTCGTATATCCTTAAGACGACTGACTACAAGCAGTTAGCATCATAGTTTAATTAGTTGACTGTATGTTGGAAGTATGTGGGTAAAGTTGTACCACTATCGATTAAGAATGTAACAGCAGTAAAGAGTTTCCCTCAGACGACTAGCAAGTCAACATAGCTGACTCTCCACTCTGGAGAAATGGGTTCAAAAGTCTGATCCTGATTTACCTTGGGTCAGTCCATAATCAGCATTAAGATCTCAATACAGATACAGATATGTTGGGGTGGTTGGGTATCTTGAAATAAGGATGTAACAGCAGTAAAGTGTTTCCCCCAGATGACTAGCATGCTAGCCATCTTGCCTTCCCAATCATTCATGGGGGAGGTTAGAAAACGCTGACCCCAAAGATTTTGCATTCAGACTTATCTGGCAAGCGATCCATAGCCGGTGGTAAGATCTTAATACCGCATACAACTCCAAAAACCGTTTGTGACTAGCTCCAATCAGTTATCCCGTGGACTCTACGGTGACGCAACACACTAACTCTCCGACTCTTTTCAGATACTCTAAGAAGAAATCAACTTTCACACCTCTCCGCTGCTCAAACCAACAAATAAAGACTTCATAAAGTCATACCATTCATACGCTGTTACAGACTGGAAAACAATCTTTATCAGTCCAATCATTCGAGAGTGTCATTATTCAGTAACACAAGTGTGTAGTTTTCAAGAATTAATTTGGGAAGATTGTATCTGTTCCAGGTTAAACCACAGATTGATATCATCAGTTAGAGAACCATTTGACAACTGTTTCATCCGCCTAGTTTGGTACTCATCAGTAGTACGCACCCGCCGCCAGCGTTTAAACCCAGGATGCAGTTCCCATCGATGACTTTGGTTGGTGCCAGTCGCGCTAAATGCATCACGAATTGGTAGAAGTTAGAATTTATGCGGTGGCGACTGAATCGGACGGGTCCCAGTGGCTAAATGGCCTACAAGCTGGCTCGCCTTGTAACCGGAATGTCCTGGGTTCGAACCCCCCGCACAGTGTGGGTGCGTACTACAGATGGACTCCAAACTAGGATGAGACAGTTGGCTATCCAATACTCCTGGCTGCTTTTCAATGTTTTTTCTAACTGATAATATCAATCCGTGGTTTTACCTGAAACAAGTGGACTTAACCCTATGCCGATTATCCTGAAACTAGTTTTAGAATTAGCCAATATTGAAAAGTAATTCTGTTTTAAAACCTGAAATGTGTTCAATCCAGTGTTTTATGAAATTGATATTACCTATCTCTCTATCTATCTTTATTAAGATGATGTTTTCACACTTTATCGAATAACTGAGGGGGGGGTGGGTAGGCAATATTTCACATATATGTGTACCGAACCCCTATCATCCTTAACACTGTTTTAATTTGTTTTGATGTGTTCTCTGGGATTTGTGTGCACACATGTACACACTAACGTTTTGTCTTTAAAAGGTTACTACATATTAATTTCAACGGTAATTTGTAATATTCTAATAACGTTATATCCCCTCCCATCCAATTATTGGACAGCAGTAAATAATTAATTACTATTATTATTATCTTCGTGTTTCTCACTTTTTCTTCTTGTGTTTTTTCGCCTTTCTAGGAAATGTTTAATCAACTAAACTAAACTATACCATTTTTTATCCAAGTGTGTTGGTTTGCAAGGATTTGATTTGATTAGTTTCAGGATTTCATCACTGAACTGACATTGGTTAGAGAAAGAGGAGCATTGGAAAACCAGTGGGTGGAGTACTGGACAGCTATTTCGTTAATCTAGCGATCTCGTCGACCATCGATCGAGTGCCACTGGGACTTGATCCGATCAAATCCTTGCAAACCAACAATTGAATATCAATCTAGTACTCACTAGTGATTGGTCTTATTCAGGTAGGCAGTTACCTGGGTTCTAACGGGAAGTCAGGACCAGTGCGGTACAGCAGGTCAGGTGCATGTGAGGACAAATACTCGCCAACGATGACATTCGCTAAGGTTTGCGCCACCTTGTGAATTGACAGAAGTTACAATTCATGGACTGACCATTGAATCGGGTCCCAGTGACTGAACGGTCTACAAGCTCGCTAGCCTTGTAACCAAAAGGTCCTAGGTTCGTACCCCGCAGTATACGTGTGTACTGCTGAAGAGTCCAAAACTGACGCGAAACAACTGTCCATTAACCCCCCCACACACTTCTGGTTTTCCAATGGTTCTCTAACTGATGTCAGCTCATGATGAAATTCTACAACCAATCAAACAAAAAAATCCCTTCAAAAACTAATACTTGAAAATTGGAGTGTGTCTCGGAGGCGCTATATTTCACTCTGAACCCAAGGGAATAATAATAATATGATAATCTTCCATACTTAACTATCTGACCTCAGTTATGGAACGAAGTGGGCAGATGTCGATAAGATCCCACAGCAGCTTGTTGGAAATGATCTTTGCGATGGCTGTACCAAATCTCTGAACCATAAAGAAAAGCATTGACTACTGACTTAACAGTAGTATTGAAAGTTCAAATTTTGTTCCTTGTTTTGAATGCATTAGATTTTTACACTGATTTCAGGTTAATCAATGAAGATCTGTGTTGCTTTTCCAATCCCGCCTAGCTTTGATATCCTTATCTATGCCATGCATGGGGCTATAGCGAACCCTTACTGTGTAAAATCAGCCCAATCGATGCGAAAGAAAGAAACTTCCAAGCACAGTGTGTGTGTGTGTGTGTGCATGTGCCACCTAACTTGAAATTCAAGTATTGGTTTGTAGGGATTTTTTTGATTGGTTACAGGATTTCATCATGAGCTGACTTTGGTTAGAGAGGACCATTGGAAAACCAGTCAGGGAGTACTGGACAGTCAGCTGTTTCGTCCTAGTTTGGGACTCTTCAGCAGTACGCACCCACACTGCGGGGTTCGAAACCAGGACCCTGATGTGAGGACAAATACTCCCCGAAGACATTGGCTGGCGGTTGCGCTATATTGTGAATTGGCAGAAGTTAGAATTCATGCGGTGGCCATTGAATCGGGTCCCAGTGGCCTGATGGTCTACGAGCTCGCCTTGTAACCAGAATGTCCTGGGTTCAAACCCCGGTGAGTGTGTACTTCTGGAGAATCCCAAACTAGGTTTTCCAATGGTTCTCTAACCAATGTCAGCTCATGATGAAATCCTGTAACTTAAAATTATTGTTTAATTGACATAAATAAATTCTGTTAAATAAGTAAGTAAACTTAGCCATTCTTTTATTTATTGATTTATTGATTTTATTGATTTAGATTCAAAGTTATCTGCCAAAAGTTGTTTTACTCAACCAGCAGTTATTATAGAATCAAATTCATCAGTGAAAAAATTATCATCAAGTAACAACAACAGCAAGACTGTAACACCATCACCAGCATCTTCAACAACTTCTGTGTCATCCTCATCAACAATAACTGCTGGCAATAATAACGGCAGTACATTTAGTCGTCCAATTTTAGGTGCTCAATCAATTGAAGATGCTCGTAAATTGTTAGCATTAAGTGAAGGTAGTAAGCGTTCATCACAAAGACGTTTACCAGCATTTACATTCCCTAATCATCATACTACTACGCATTACAGTCATAATAATAATAATAACAACCATATATTCATGTCCCCAATGGGACCATATGCTGGAATTGGATTCGGTCAATTGAAATCATATAACAATAATAATAATAATACTAATAGTAATATGTCATCTCATCATATGCATAATCATACTATACAAATGTTGAATAGTACTCAGATATCATCACCTCAAAATTCTTCTCAGCATCTTCATCCTAATTCTATTCAACAACAATATTCCCAACATCATCAGCATCATCTTCACAATCAGCACCAACATCAACACCAAAATCATCACTACAATCATTCGAATGCTGCACATCGTTATTATTATCATCATCATCACCAGCATCAAAATCATCCACAGACGACAATAGTACAGACACGATTTTCTACAAATAACAATATAACAACAAATACATTTAATGGAAGTAAAAGTCTCCTATTAGATAATCTTATTCCAATACCTTCTCGTATAACAACAGCAACAAGTGGAGGGAATCCTACTACTGCATCAAATCAAATCTATGCATCATTGATGCCGAGTCAACAACGAAATCCTTGTCAAATGCGTCAACAACAACAGCAACATCACCATCATAATCACAACCAACAACAGCAGCAACAACTGGCGGCAACAGCTTCTCCACCACATCATCGAAGTCAATCCACGTCATCGTCAAAACAACATCATCAACAGTATAATATTGTACAAACAAGCAATCATAATCATCATCACCAAAATTATCAATATCAGGTAGATTTATTGATTGTTTTTTATGTGTGTGTGTGCGCGTGCGTGCGTATTTTTATATGATTGAAAAACAGAACTTGTTGGTACATTATGAATATTCAAGTATTGGTTTTGCAGGAATTTTGTTTGATTGCATGGAGGATTTCATCATGAGCTGACATTGGTTAGAGAACCACTGGAAAACCAGTCAGGGAGTACTGGACAGCTGTTTCGTCGGCCTAGTTTGGGACTCTTCAGTAGTATGCACCTACACTGCGGGGTTTGAACCCAGGACCTTCTGGTTACAAGGCTAGTGAGGTCATAAACCATTAAGCCACTGGGACCCGATCTAATGGTCCTTGAATTCTAACTTCTGCCAATTCACGACATAGCCCGACCACATTATGAATACCAAAAGATGAGGGTTGGCTATGATGCTGCTCAGACACCCCCCACTAAAAGTAGGTGAGTGTCTTAAGGGGCCAACCTCCCCAGAGCCTTTGACTTGAAATTTAATCTACAAGATAGTGGCGAAGCTACGTCGTAATGGTTTTGGATGACTAAGACAGGTTCATCTCCTATGCGATTCGACCCCTTTCGGATTTTGGAGCCTATGTGCACACTATAGGTTTGGAATTTGGGTTTTCTAGCGCCTCTAGGTAGGTGGTAGTCTGTCTATCAGACATAAGGCGTTGACATTCACCCTTCCGCTTTCGTGAGGAACCCTGTCAGGCCACATGAATGTGCGGCAGTGTGAAAGTAAGACTCACCTTGGAGAGAGAGGCTATGTGAACAAAGCGTCGCTCCCCCCATACGCCAGATGAGAGTATTTCGAAAGGAAGATCGAAATTTTGGGTTCGAACCCGGTGCGGGGTGCGTCCTAAACTAGGACGAAATAGCTGGATGTTCAGTAGTTCCAGCTGGTTTTCCAATGGTTCTCTAACCAATGTCAGCTCATGAGGAAATCTTGCCTGTCTGTCTGTTTTCGACATAGAACTTTGCACCGATGTGCACCAGTTCAATTCGCCACACTCCCTCCCTGTAGCACACAAATCAAGAGAAGAAAGTAGAAGAAATGCATAATAGAGACAGTAAACAGAGGTGTGAGATGAGACAAAGGAATAGTAATAACGAAGAACACTATAGTTTCATTGGTAATCATAAGTCACAAGGAGGGATGCATCTGCACCACCCAGCCATTGAGAACGATGGGTTTGAGCCATATCACCAATTGTTTCCAGTCTCCATTGGTTTTTACCGTCCCTAGGACCCCAACCAGTCAGTCAGGAAGTCTACACCTTCCTACGTTGCTAGCTGGCCTAAACTAACTGTTGTGGATTTCATTGACTGGTGAGGCCATGTTTTGGTTTGACCGCCACTAGCTAGCTCTTTTCCAGCCTGACCCTATGTTGGCAGCAAACATTTCCTGTCGATGAAGTCAATGGCTCGGCAGTATGCGTAACACACCTCCTAACCATCTCAGTCAATGTAATTTCACAGCCTCGTCCATTAATTTCCCCTCCTTACCTAACACTCACTGGACGCCTAACCTCAATGTTGCTCACCTTATTATACCACCTTACACGGGAGATAGAACGCAGTCACCTATGATCAAAGACAGCTAGCCAAATATTTCATGTCTTCCACTCTCAATGGCCATGTCTAGCTCACAGCCATAAAGGAGGACGGAGCGGACAGCTGAGCAGTACACACGTCTTTTGGTCAATACCCGGATATTACGTCTACGCCAGAGACGGCGTAAACTGGCATATGCGAAACTAGCCCTCTGTATCCGTGCTGAGATTTCGTCAGAGATCAACCCGTTGGCGCTGGCTGATGATACTTCCCAAATAAGTGAAGCGGTCAACGTGCTCTACCACTTCACTTCCTATTTCTAAACTAGGAGTCAGTGTAGTCCAGTCCAGTCCTATAACATCATCTTACATTTGGCAGGAGCGAATCGCATGCCATACATTAGTAGACTGCAGCTCAGGGTCTTGAGAAGACTCTGCTGCATTTTGTCAGTATCCTCGCCTAGAAGGACTATATCATCTGCATATTCTAAGTCAACGAGATTATTCCCTGATGGTAACAAGTCAATGACCTGAGTCGCTGAAGTCAGCAGTTAGGGTTAAGTCCGTTAGTACATCTATGATGAAGTTGAATAGGAATGGGGATAATGGGCTTCCCTAACGCTCACCACCACTAGTTGTCCTGTAACCAATCAACCAAATCCCTACAACAAACCAACACTTGAATTTATGTATTATTATTAACAGTAGTACCAGGAGCTGGAGGAGGAGGTGGTGTATCTCCTTGAAACTCAGGCCTTCAACAGCACGCATCTCCATTCTACCCTATTCTCTGTAGGGTTTTTTTCTTATATCTGGCTCCACCATTGCCCATAAGGTTTCACATCTCTTCTATGTCACCATCGAAGTGCGACGCCCAACTCGTTGTTCCCACACCCCACCCCACCCCACCCCCAAAAAAAACCAAAACAATATATCATTAAAAACTTACTGTGATTTGTTTTAGGCGCTCATGTAAACAACAAAACGCTCCCTCACACACACACACACATACATACGCTACATAACACCGTCACTTTGCTTGTAAATAGCTCATCAAATAACTGTCGCAGTATAAACGATGCCTTGCAATGAACTAATTAATTGGTCAGGTAAATGGAGAAGACAGCTAACTAAATAGGCATATATGCATGTGCATAGTAGCTCAGAAAGTCTTTTACACAGAGAGAGAGAGAGACAGGAAACACAAGTAGATAAACAGAAACTGGGGTGATTTATCATCTATGAAACTAAGGTGAAAGGAAACACAAATAAGTGGTATGTATCCTTAACTGAACTTAACGGCTTAGGAATCAACTTGTTACCAGAGAATAGTCTTATGGACTCAGAATATGCAGATGACATAGTCCTGCTAGGGGAGGAGATGCTGACAAAATCCAGCTGAGTCTTCTGAACACCATGAGGTGAGCTGCAATCTTCATATGTTTGGCATGCATTTGGCCCCTGTAAAATGTAAGATGCTGCTACAGGACTGGACTACGTCAACTCCTACCTAGCTTAGTGATAGGGAGTGAAGTGATAGAATATGTTGACCACTTTACCTATTTGGGAAGTTGTATCAGCACCAACGGACTGATTGGCGACGAAATCTCAACACGGATCCGAAAAGCTCGAGCTGCTTCCGCTGATTTACACCATCTCTGACGTGGGCGTGACATCCGGCTATCAACCAAGGGACGTGTGTACTGCTCAGCACTTCGCTCCGTCCTTCTCTATGGCTTTGAAACATGGCCAATATGAGTTGAAGACATGAAAAGGTTGACTGTTGTTTTTGATCATAGATGTCTACGATCGCTTCCTCACGTTAGATGGTATAATAAGGTGTAAGTAATGTTGACGTTAGACGTAGAGTGTTGGGCAAACAGGGAAAATCAATCGACGAAGCTATAAAGTTACATAGACTGAGATGGCTAGGCCAGGTGCTGCGCATGCCTAACCATCGCCTCCCACGACGGGCATTACTAGCTGATATAGGTGCAGGTTGGAAAAGAGCCAGTGGTGGCCAAGCAAAAACATGGCTTCATCAACCCATGAAATCCTTGACAGTTAAACTGAGTCAGGTAGGTAGATGCAGACTCCCGGGTTGGGGCCCTCAGGACTCTATGAATCAATGGCTGGAGACAATAGATGACATGGTTCAAAATCGTTGTCAATGGCGAAGATGTATTCAGTCTCTGTAATCTTTCATATTCCTTTCTACCATTACCCATTCTGTTTCGCTCTTATACCTGTCAAACTCTGTTGATTCTCTTCACTCATCTTCTTGCCTACCTCTGTGTGCTATTGGGAATGTAACAACTCGAACTGGTGCACTTCGGTGCCAAGTTCTATGTTGAATCCAGACAGACAGATAAGTGGTATATATCGGCGACGAATTAGATTATAAAGCGGAGTAATGAAGATCATTGTGAAACTATATATATATATAAGTATTCCACCAAGCGAAATAATAAATAACCAACTAGTTGAGAGAATCGATTCAAAGAACTTTTAATGCCAATAGGCAGCTAGCTGCAACTCATATTTTTCCATGAGATCGGTTGTGATTCTGAAATTGCAGAAAGCGTAGTAGCTAGCAAGGTAAACTAGCTATCTCTTATTGTATCTATCAGTTCAACTGCTGCTCCTGTGTGCAGTCAGTTATACTGGCCGTTGCTCTAGGCACTTAATGTGTTTTGGTGCTTTTGAACACCTCTCATTGAAGAGTCCCTCTCCTAGCATCTATCGCATAAATTGCCAAAGGCCTCCAAATATCAAACACTGCAAACAGCAAAAGCCAGTGCAATTCGCCTAGGAGGACTGAAAAGCTTATTATTCGTCCCTGTTCGCAATCCCTCAGCTATTTTTACACTGTACTAATGGTCCATTGCGAGTTAAAAGGGATTAGGCCGTCAACTGGTTCAGACACAGTGAGTTTTGGCATCTAATTGTCATAGGTACACACACACACACACACACACTGCTGTAAATAGTCCCAAATTAAGACGAAAAATCTGCTCAGTATTCCCTGGTCTTAAATGGTTCTCTAACTGGTATTGGTTGATGAAGTGGATTCCGCTTTCAGAGATTTCATGTCTATTATCGATTAAAGATAAGGAAACACCGCGCATTCTGGATTTCATTACATACTATTCAGTATCATGTTAGATGTAAGGGGCATATTCCTTTTCTGTTATCGCATCACAATAAACCTCAACTCAACTTTCAGCCAGTGTGTTACCTCAAGTTCGAATCCCCCGCTCCACCCAATTTAACCTGAAATGTCTTCCTCATAAGAGTGAGTTATAATTAATTGTATTAACCTTGACAAAGCAGTGGTTATAGAATTTGAATATGGGGTTCAGTTCCTGGTTAACGCATTCTTAAAAACCTCACTAAGCCTGTAGTAAGCCAGATTATGGAAGGGGGGGCGTGGAGAGATGGAGAAACGAT